GACGCCCAGGCTTGGCCCGCCGGACTGGGCGCCCGCTGCCATGGGGCGTTATTCCGCCAAATACTCCCTGCCGGAATGACACGCACCACCGTGAGAGGGGCCACGCGTGTGTGTGTGTGTGTGGGGGGGGGGGGGGGCTCGGCGCCTGGGCCTGGGAGACCCGTCCCGCGCGCAGAAATGCCAGCCTGACCTCGAGGGACTGGTCGCCCCCTCTCGAAGGAGCATTGGCCGGAGACCACCTTTCTCCCTGCGCGTGTGCGTGTGTGCCGCGCCCCCCCGCCCCCCCGCCCCCCCCCCCAAGGGAAAGCAAGGTCCTCGGGCCAGCCCCGTTCGGCTCCCCCTTGTCGGAGAAGGAGTTGGTGGAAGGTGTTGGGACGGGGGCCTGGCCGCGGGGGCCGGGCCTCGCGGCGAGTAGCAGGCGGAATGGCACACCGTCCCGGTCGAGTTAATGTTCCGACCCGGGAGTCAAGGGGGTGTTTCATTTATGGCACGAAAGGCACTTTTCTCGGCCTTCTGCCGCTCCTCTGAAAGGGACCGTCGCGGGCGGGGGAGCCGGGGGGGGGGGGGGGCCAGCGCGGCAGATGAGGCATGCTGGCGGGCCCCCTGCGCCGATGGGTCAGCGTCTCGTCATGTGTTCCTCATGGGCGAAGGGAAAAATGCATTCCTCGCCGGGCCGGCCGACAGTGGCCCGTGGATATCGTATAGTGGTTAGTATAAGTGGTTGTGGCCCACTCGGCCCCAGTTCGATTCTGGGTATCCACACATTTATTTTTCCCCTCCATGGTCTGTTTCCTCGGCCAGGAAAAAAGGAAGGATATTCATCACCGGCAGGATTTGAACCTACGCGGGCAGAGCCCATCCGATTTCTAATCGGACTCCTTAACCACTCGGACACGGTGATACGGAAGGGAGGCCGGATCAAAGGCATATAACTGAAACTCCTGGGTCCCCTGTCGCTGGCCATCCGGCTGCCTTGCATGCAAAGGTCGAGGTGCGCCGCGCCAGGGCTACAAAAACAGGGCACAATCCCATACCCCACCGATGTGGAGGCACATTCTCCTCGGCCAGTGTGTGTGTGTGTGTGTGCGTGTGTGTGTGGCGAGGAGGCCGAGACGGAGAGCAGACCGGTCCCGCCGTCGGTGGTTGGAATACAGGTGCGAAGCGGGGGGGCCTCTCTGCGCAGATGAAGGTGGGGCAGGCAGGTAGCGGGGCTGTGCTCTCATGCTTCATCCGGGCTTCCGAGCGGAGGCGGGGGTTCTTGCCGGTCCGCGCCAGAGAAGGTGTCAGGGCCTTTGCCGCGTGAGCGTCCCTCTGGGGGGTGGGCATGGTCTCGGCACGCCAGGCACCGGCGCCCTCTCGCGGATCGCGCTATCAACACGCACGGGAGATGCCAGCCTCGGTTCGGCAGCATCTTCACGGTGGCAGGCGCGAAAGCCACAACAAACTTAAGACCCCTGGGTGGGTGATGCCACCACCCTGGCTCGTTTAGCTCAGTGGTAGAGCGCCAGTCTAGTAAACTGGAGGTCGGGTGTTCGATCCACCCAATGAGCACATATATTTTGCCCATGGGGGCTGATTGCACTCGCTTTAGTCGCCCCCCCCCCCACCCTGGCAGGATGCTCGGGATGGGACTATGGTTTGCCGCTGCGCCACCTTTCTTTTGCCGGGCATGGGTCGAGGCCAACCACCGAAAGGGGCCGACCACCGGGACCGCGGGGAGGGGCGCGCGCCCATCGGATTCTTGTTCCCCCCCCCCCCCCAGCCGTGGGCGATTGGCGCATCCAGGATTGTCTGTCGTGTGCCGGGCTGTTCCGCGGCTAGTTGCCCTTTTTCCGTGTGTGTCTGCAGGCGTGTGCCCGAAAAAGGGTGTATTTGTTTATTTGTATTCTTGAATCCATATATCCCTGGACTGGTCTCTGCTTGTGTGCTCCATGGTGCATATTTGCACGCAAGCATGCCGGGGGGGGGGGATGCGCCTGCGCCCCGGCACACAGTGTCGCCCCCCGACGAAATGGCCGCTTCTGCTCGGCATCTGGCCGCGGTCTAGACTCTCGGCCCGTTTTTCGGGGTGATGGCGCGACTGAGCGGCCGTGTGAAGGCCGTGGGCCCGCCAGGAGTGCGGACCTCCTCCGGGGTGGGAACTTCGAAATCCTGCGGTCCCATCGATGGGGGGGCCTCTGGACCCTGCCCGATCCCGCTTCGTCCCCACCGCGGCTCTCCACGGGGGATGGGCTCTTTTTTTTTTTCACTCCCCCGGGCCCACACCGCCGCCACCCCCCGGCAAGGCATCTCTCTTCCGGCATGCATCACAGCCCGGTCGGGCGGTTCCCGGCCCCTTGTTCTCTCTGGGGGCTCAAGCCTCCCCGATGGGGCCGCACGGGTGCCCCCCCCCCCCCCCCGGCGAGGAGGGCCATCCCTGGGAGAGCGCCCCTTTTTCCGGTGCCCCTCCAGATGCAGGGGATGGGCGTTCCCCGGCGGGCTCTTCTTTGTCCTTGCTCGCCTCGGTACCCGGGCCTGCGGCTGACTCGCACTTCGCGGCCACCGCCCATTTCCTTGGCCCTTTGTTGCCGGCTCCGGGCCCGTGGGACTTGGCCATTCGCCTCCAACTCGGAGCAGTGCCATTCTTTTGTGCAAAATGACCCCGAAGGATCTGGCCCACCGGTCCGATATGCGCTCGTCGCCCGGCTCGACCCTCCCTGTGCCGAGAGGTCGCCCGGCGGTGCGATCTGGGGGAGTTCATCGGAACCTCCCTCTCCTCCTTGTCCCTTCAAGTGAAATAGACGGTGCCACTCTCCCTCCCTCCCTCCCTCTCTCTCTCTCTCTCTCTGTCTCTCTCGAAGCCCGAGTACAGTCTCCTTCCCTCCTTCTCTCCCTCCCCCCCTTCTCTCCCTCCCCCTCTCTCCTTCGCACACAGACAAGCATCTTCTTGTTCCCTTTGTCCGGGGGATCCGGCCAGCTGGTTCGTTGTGCCTTGTCTCGATACCCCCTCTCTTTGGTCGGGGCTCTTGTCACAGCTTGGCCGGAATCGGCACGCCCCTCCGGAGCATCGGGCTGGACGGGACAAAGCGCCACGGACCGAGCCTCCGTGCGGAGATCCAGCCGATAAGCCCCCATGCCGGACGGCATGTCCCCCTGCACGCGGGAGATCCTGGCCCACTACCTGGCCGCCTTTGGCCACCAGGATGCTGCGCCCGATGTCGGCGAGCGTTTCCAGGTGCGCCCTGCCGCGAGATCGCCCCCCCCCCCCCCCCCCTCCCCCCCCCATGGTCTGACCCTGTGCCCGACTCCCTCTGCCTCGGGGGGTGCACACTCGGCCGATCCTTTGGCCCCATGGGTGTCGGCTCGACAGGCGGTTGTCGATCGCGAAAACCACTACCGCACCCTCTTCGCCCAGCAGCCGGACCATGTCGACTTGCAAGACCCCCACCTGATGATGATCCCCCTCTTTGACCAAGCGCCCGGGGTGCTGGTCGCACGCGAGGCCCACGAAGCAAGCGCCCTCGGCCCTGATGGCCGGCCGGTCTTTCGCATGATGTTCACCCAGTGCCCCGAGGGGCAGCGCTTTCGCAAGGGCCCCGGCCAGCCGGCCACCGCCGGGACCCTTGCGGCCTTCCACCGGAACTGGGAGCTCTTCACGGAGAATGCCCTGCGCTATGTCAATTGGGACAATGTCATCGTGGCGGGCGGCGCGGTCCTGGCCAGCCTCATGCCGGTCTTCGACCCGGACACCTCTCTCACATTCGTGGAGGATGCCGATGTGGCCTCGGGGCAGGTGGCCCAGGCCCGGGCATTGCTCCAGGTGGACTCCTCCACGCCCATGCTCACCGGCGCCGCGGCCACCCCCCCGGGCGAGGACATCTCCCCCAAGCGCCAGCGGTACCTTTACCACAATGTGCTGTACCGGTCTTCCGACATCGACCTCTTCATCTACGGCCTGGATGAGGAAGCCGCCCGGGCCAAGCTCCTGGAGCTATATGAGGCCATTTCCAATGCCATCCCCCATGGGACCTTGGTCTTCCGCTCGAAGTACGCCGTGTCCATTGTCAGCCAGTTCCCCTATCGCCATGTGCAACTTGTCCTCCGCCGGTATGCCTCCCCGGCCGAGGTGCTCATGGGGTTCGATGTGGACTGCTGCAGTGTGGCCTTCGATGGGCGGCAAGTTTATGCCCTGCCCCGTGCCCATGCGGCGCTGGTGTTCCAGCGGAACACCATTGACATGTCCCGGCGGTCGCCCTCCTACGAGACCCGGCTGGCCAAGTACGCGGCCCGTGGCTTTGCCGTGCGGAGCCCCTTCTACGAATTGGCCCGGGTGGATCCGCAAATTTTGGAGCGCTCTTTCGACCGGGTCCAGGGCCTGGCCCGGCTTCTGGTCCTCGAGCGCCTCCGGACCCCGGCGGCCGTCCAAAATTATCGCGATGAGCAGCGCCTTCGCCGCATGCGCAGCCCCTCCAAAGAGGCCCTCGGGCCGGGAAACGCCCTTGTCGGCAGCCCCCCGGCCGGGGGGTACCTTCGACAGCAGATCGAAGACCGCCTCAGCGGCGACCCCTTTCTCCGGGACCAGCTGCTGGGAAGCGACATCAGCCACTTGTCGGACTATGCCACGGTCTTCCTGCCCTGGGGGCCCAGCTGGAATGCCCGAGCCATTCAGCATCTCATGGCCGGCAAGGACGCCATGCTGAATTCCCCCTGGTTCGATCGCCGCAAGACCTTCCACACCCATCCCTGCTTTGTGGGGCGCATGGCCGCCGTGTTGGAGGATTGTTGTGGATTTTGCCCGGCCTTCCCGGCGGACTTTGACATTCACACCTCGGGCTTTGTCCATGGGCCGCTGGTCTTCCTGGCCGACGATCCCGGGCGCCAGTCCATCGGGTCCTTTCGGCCCATCACCGAGGGCGATTGGCTCGAGCCGGCCTTGCTCCCCGAATCCACCGACCTGCTGGCCACGGCGGCGGCCACCGGCAACATGGCCCTCTTCCGCCGGGCTCTGGATGTGGCATCCGAGCGCTTCACCCGCCAGCGGCAGGCGGCCTGCGCCGAGAAGGAGGCCGCCGATCGGGCCCTCGCCGAGGCTCTGGCCGCGGTGGAGGCGGCCGAAGCCGGCAGCGCCACCGCCACGGTGTCCCTGGACTTCGAGGGGTTTCTGGTGGTGGAGGCCGACGAGGCCACCTGGGCCGATCGACTGGCGGCCGCCCGGTCGGCCCTTGCCCTGGCCGTGGTGGCCCGAGACCACGCCGCCCGGCGTTTGCACGATGTCCATGGCATACGCCTGGACGCGCGGGATTCGCTCGGCCGGACCCCCTTGATCCTGGCGGTGCTGGCCAACCGGCGGGCCCTGGCCCGGGCCCTGTTGGATGCCGGCTTGCGGTCTCTGCAGGCGGCTGTCCTGCGTCTGCGTCATTCCACTTGCCTGGACCCCATGACGGCGGAGGCGGACCGGCGGCTGCTGGCCGAGCTGGAGCCATGTCTGGAGCTGTCCCTGCCGGAGCATGTGCAGCCCAACCTCTCGGAGCGCGCCTTCAATGGCCGGACCCCGCTGCACTTTGCGGCGCACTACAATCGCCCGGACATCCTGGCCGACATGCTGGCATACAATCACCAAGTGCGCGAGCTCCTGCTGGAGGCTCGCCGCATTCGCCGGGCCTCGCGCATCGGCCCCGAGCATGCTGCCCCTTCCCGGGACCGGCTCAACAATGGCCCGGGCCACCGGGCGGTCGCCCCGAATGCGGTTGACACAGGTGCTTGGGACTTTGCTGGGCACTCGGCGGATTCCCACAGCATAGACGGGGGTGCTGCCTCCGCCGAGGGCAGCTCCAAGGAGGGTGGTCCAGATGCCGACAGTGGGTATGGCTCGTCTGAGGACATGTGTGAATCTGATGGCTCATTTGATGAAGATGAGTATGAGTATGAGTATGAGTATGAAGATGAGTATGAAGATGAGTATGAAGATGAGTATGATGATGAGTATGATGATGAGTATGATGAGTATGCTGATGAGCATGAGGATGGGCATGAGGATGGCCTCGCCCCGGATGATTCGGAACTTGAGGACATGCTGGCCATGGCCGAGTCCGACGATGATCCGGACATTCATGTCGCCAGCACCTCCTCCGCCGAGATCGCCGGCGATGCCGATCCCAAGGACGTGGTCGCCATGCGCGAGGCCTTCGTTTCGGTGGATTGCGAAGATTGGGATGGCCACCTGACCCCCCTGCATTATGCCGTGCTCTTCGGGCATGTGGCCTGCGTGCGGGTGCTCTTGGCCCATGGGGCCGACGCGTCGCGCCCCTGCCTGCCCTTCGCCGGCAATGATCGAGACGCCATGACCCCCTTGATGTTGGTGGCCTTTGTGGAGGACAGTGCCGTGGCTGTGGCCCTGGCCCGGCTGCTGGTGGAGGGGGTGGATTTGGTGGCCATTGCCCGGGCCGAGTCGGCCGGCCCGGGCCCCATGCGCTCCCAACCGGCCACCTTGGTGGACATGCTCCTGACCAGCCAGCTGAATGTCCTGGGGGTGTATGCCGTCCGCCTGCGCGGGGACCTGCTGGCCGACTTCGTGGCGAAGTGCTTCCCACCCGAGGCCTTGGGCCCGGTGCTCGCGCATGTCACCACCGGCCAGCTGAATCCCCTGGCTCTGGCCATTCGATTTGGCTACCAATTGGCGACGGATTTCGGCCGGCGTAGCATGCCGGTCATTTTGCGCGGAGGGCTGAGCCGTGCCGCCCGTGAGCAAATGACCGCCCACACGGTGGAGGCTCTGCTTCGCCTTGGTGCGCCGGCCCTCGTGCGGGCGTCCCACCTTGCCGCCTCGAAGGAGCTGTTGCTGCGCGTCTGGCCCGAGGATCGGCCACCGGGAATGGAGCAAGCCTACGCCCATGTCAGGCTCCATACGCAGCCCTTCCACCTGGCACTGATGACCCGCCTTCCCCGGGTGCTTGGACTGATCCTTCATGCGGTCGCAGCTCCGGCGGAGGAGTTGACCTTCCAAAGCGTCCCCTCGTGCGTGCCTGACTCCATCGGGCGCCTTTCCCGTCCTTCATGCTGCCCTCAACTGACCCATCTCTCTCTCTCTCTCTCTCGCTCTACCTCCATCAACATGCGTCTTTTTTTTTCATGGATCTCTCTCTCTGTCTCGTTGTCTCTTTGACTCGTTGGCTGTTTTTTTTCTTTTCATCTCAATGTCCCCCTCCTCCCACATTCGCCCTTTTTATGGTGTCGTTCGGTGGCTTTCTCGCTTTCTTCCTCGCCGACGCCCCTGCGGGTGCATCCGACCAGGATGCCGCACAGCTTCAGCATGCCGCCGTCGAGCCACTCCGCACCCCAGCAACAAGGCACCCAGCATGCGACTGCTGCCACCCATGCAGCCAGCAGCGCGGACCGCAGGTGCAATTTGGCCGATTTTGTGGTGGCCGCCGCCGCGCAAATGATCACCCTCTGCGGTGGTGATCTCGAGCAGCTGGCGCTGTTACGGAACGCGGCACCGGAGCTCTTCGACCTCGTCGATCAGATCTACTCCAATAACGAGCTCAAGAAGACCACCTCCACCAATGAGGTGGCTGTCAATGGGGCCGGCGTCGAGGTGGCCTCCATTCGCATGGCCATGCGTGCCATCAAGAAGGCCCTCCGGAATGAGCATGCCTCGGTGCTTGCCAGCAGCCCGGGGCTTCGGCCATGCTCCGGCCCGGCCGGCCAGCCCGCAGCCATGGCCGCCCCGGGGCCCGACTCCTCCGGCTGGCGGCGGACCGGAACCGACGCGGCCCCGGTGGATTTGGATGCCGATTTGGCCGAGGCCCTGGACTTGCCGCCCGACCATGAGGACTACACCGACGAGCGGCCGGCCGCCGATGCGCCGCTGTGGCTGAGGATCGGGGATGTCAGCGGGCTGGCCATGCCGGCCGCGCGGCTGTCGGATCATGATGATGATGTATTCCTCCTGCGGAATGCGATCCGCCTGCGGGACCGCCTCCCGCGAAGGGTGCGCTCCCCCATCGGGCGGCTCGACCTGCTGGAGCTCTTCCCCCTGGAGGGCATGTGCACGGTGCTGGGCACGATGAAGGGCCGTCGGCAGATTTTGCGCGAGATTGACCGCCACGAGGGGCTCCAGCAGGCGGGCCCATCAGCGGGCCCGGGCCCGGGGGCCATCGTCACGCTTTTGCTTCGGGACTTGGCCGTCGTCAACTATATGCTGGGCCTGCCGGCCGGTGAGCGTGCCGATGATCGCGATGCCAGGCGCTTTGGCATCCCCGCCGGGGGTGGTGCAGGGGCGGGTCCTTTGGCCGGGGGCCGGGCCGTGCTCGGCGCGTCCCGGCTCAAGCCGCACCTCGTCGAGGCCATGGAGCAGGCCTCGACCGCCGTGACCGATGCCATGTGCGCCCGGCGGGCGGATTCCTTCCAACGCCTGGATGCCATGCGGCGGATGCTGGCCCATGATTTTGGCATGTGCACCTCCTTCGACCGGATGTATGCCGAAGCCGTGGGCGAGGCTGCCCGGCCGAAGCGCACACGGCAGTATGGCTTCGACGAGCCTGCCCGACTGGCCAGCCAGTTGGTCAATGAGTTCGGCCGGCGCCGGTGGAAGTCCCTGACCGGCGCCGAGGCGGAGGCCCTTTACCAGGCCGTCACCGTGGAGGCGCTGCAGGCGGCCATCGCCCACGAGGCGGGAGGTGCTGACGGCCTGGCCGGCCACCATGGTCTCGAGGCCTTTGCGCGGTGCTTGTCCATGGCCACGTTGAAGGCATTGCCGGGGGTTCTCCAGCAGATGGTGGCCTTCGCGGAGGCGAGTGCCACCGGCGAGGCGACGGCCACCGGCCGGCCGGGCACGCGAGGGGGTCCCCCGCGCCCGGGCACTCGGGCCGCCCCGGCATCCGCGCCCAAGGATGCCCCTCCCTTGCGTGTTGCCTATTGGGCGGCCGGTCACCCGGTCACCGGTCCGGCCAATGAGGCCATCTATCGGGAGCTCTTTGAGGCGGTCTTCGCCGGGGATCTCGACCGGGTGGCCGACCTGACCGACCCCTCGAAGCATGGGGCCCGGGTGGCGCTGGTCGATTGCAAGCTCCATGGCCAGGCGCATACGACCCCCCTGCGCATGGCGGTGCGATTCTTGCCCCGGCCGGGGCCCATGGTGGAGCTTCTCCTGGGCCGCCTGGCCAGCCAGTACCGGCCGAAGGTCAGCCGGCGGGCCGTGCGTCTTGCGGCGGAGGACGCCGCGCGGGCCGCCGGGGCGGCGGCCAAGCGCCCCGGCCACGACCCCAATGTTGCTTTGCTTGCGACGGCGTTCGCCGGTCCGGGCGATGGCGACCGGTCGGACTTCTCCGATGAGGATGCCGGATACTTGGATGAGTGGGCAGCCCGCGAGGCGGGCACCGGGCACATGGCTGCCATGGGGGTTCCCCTTTCGCGGGCCGAAGCCGCGCAAGAGGCCTGCCACCGCGCCGGCCGGGCCAACCGTCTGGCTCGGCGCGCGGCTCGGCCCGACCATGGGCCTCAGCCCGACCATGCGGCCGGGATGTCGGAGCCGGAGCACCCGGGCCACCGGCGCTTCAGCACCATCAACCCGATGTATTCCCTCCTCCAATGGCATGCCTTCCTGCCCGAGGGCCGTCGTCGCCCGGGCCATGGGGCTGCCCAGCTGCTGGGCCTCCATCGGCTGACGGCCACCACCGGGGCCATTACCACCGCCGCGAGGGTCCAATTGGCGAGCGCTCTCGATGGCCCCACTGTCCACGTCAATGACCATGAGCTGGGGGAGGATGGGGTTCCCTCGCTGGCGAGCCTGCTCCAGTGGGACGACCAGCGGGCCCCGATCCCGGGGGATGCCCTCGGGCGCGACCTGCTCCGGCAGCTGGGCGGCCTGGGCATGTGCTCGACGCGGCCGCGGCCGCCGCCACCGCCGCCGGGTCAGCCCATCCGCCTGAGCATCATCAATGAGACCCTTTTCCATGCGGCCGGGCTTGCCCAGGGCGAGGCGCATGCCCTGGAGCTGGTGCTTGCCCTTCTGAATGGTCTCTGCCTGGTGGAAGAGGCGGTCACCCGGGTGGAGGGTCGGGCGGCCCGGGTCCAGGGCCACATGGAGCAGCCCCGCCCGGCCATGGGGCTGACCGAGCGCCTGATGTCCAATGTGGCGACCGGCCCCGAGGCCGATGCCGGGCCCCTGCCCTTCCTCCTTGCCATGGCCATGGGGCTGCCCCGGTCGGTGTTATTGCTGCTGCTCCGGCGCTTTGGCGGGGGGATCAACTTTGCGGCGTGGCCGATGCCGGCCGATGCCCGGGTGGCTGCCTCCCGGCGGCACACGGTCCTCACGCGCCCCGGTGCCAATGCCATCTTCCGGTGTCGGGCCGACGGGGGCGAGGGGATTGCCCGGTCGACCGGCAACATGCTCTTCCTGGTGGACTTGTCCACCGGGTCTGGCTGCCGGGCCGACGGTCCGACCAGTGGCCATGGGTCGCCGGTTGGGCCGAGCCCCCGGAGCCGGCACCCGCTGAGCCTGCTACCGCTGCCGACGGTGGCCCTGCTGCTGGGGCAGGTGGCTGTGGCTCGGTGGCTGGCGGCCGATCCGGCACCGGTGCAGGCCTTCCGCGACTTTTGGCACCGGCGCCTGGAGCGCCGGCCGGCCGGGGAGCTCCGGGTCCGCCGGGCGCCGGATGTCCGGCGCTTGGCCGAGCTGGTGCCGGCCGCCGAGCGAAGTGTCCTGCGTGCCCTCGGCCGGGAGGTGTTCCTCTCGTCGGACCCGGTCGAGCGTGCGCTCTTCCGGTTGGACACCGTGCTCAAGGTCCCGGCCATGCCCTCCAGCCGGCCGGGCCACACCGAGTACACCACGTCCCTGATGGCGGTGGCGATGCTCAATTCGCGGGCGGCCTTGCGGGACCTTCGGGAAATCCTCACCGCCGAGCCGTACTGCCTGGACCCGGGGCAGGTGGCCGCCCTGGCGGCCGTCGGCATGGCGGTCGATGCCCATGCCCCGCCCAACAGCCTGCTGGCCTCGGGGTCGATCGCCAGCCTGGAGGATCGGCCCCGGGCGGTGGTGTCCACGCGCGATGTGGCCCTCAGCCCGCTGGCCCTGGCAGTTCGCCTGGGCCTGGCGGACGCGGCGGCCGGCCTGCTGGCCGACATGGGGGCCGATCCCCACCAGGCGGATGCCTTCCGTGGCTGGACCGCGCTGCACCATGCGGCGCATGCACACCAGCCGGCCATGGCGGCCCTGCTTCTGGCGGCCATGGCCAAGGGCCCCGGCTGCGCCACGGCCCCGGCTCGGCTGGCGGCCCTGCGCCGGGCCCTCTTCGCCTGGAACCCGGTGGCCTGCACCACCGCGGTGCATCTGGCCATCGAGGTCAATGCCCACGGGGTGCTCCGGGAGATGGCGGTGGCCCTGGCGCGCGAGCGCTTCGCCACCGGCCGGCCGACCGCCGGGCAGGTGCTGCTGGCCCGGGCGGAGCTCTTCCACCCGGAGCACCGGACCCCGGGCGGGTGGGACTCCGCCCTGCATGTGGCCTTGCGCTTTTCGCAGTTCCCGCTGGCCGCCGAGATGATCCTGGCGCTGGGCCTGGCCCCGGCGGTGCATGCTCTCGGCCCGGCCGCCGTCGGCATGGATGTGCTCGGCCCGATGGCCGACACTTTGCTGGGGCTCCTGGCCGGGGAGGGGGCCTCGGTGGAGAAGCTTCGCCGGGCGAGTGCCACGGCCCCGGCCGCGCCATCTGCCCTTGTGGACTGGGCCCTCCTTCGTCAGGGGCTCCTGTCGGAGAATGCCTTCGGCTTGACGCCGGCGGATCAGCTCTTCACCGGGCACCGGCAAATCCTCGCTGGCCAGGCCCTGACCATGGAGGGTCTCGCGGCCAAGGTGCCCCATGCCTTCGGCAGCATGGGCCTTCGGTGCTCGGGCCTGCTGCGCGGCCTGGGTGTGGCGGCCCCTCGCCGGGATGCCGATGCCGCGGCCGTGGTCGAGCATTTCACATCGCCGGCTCGGGCCTTTGCGGCGCTACACTTGCTGGCCAGTGCGCTGGCCTTCGAGCCGGCGGACGGCCCCGGCTCCTCGGCCAGTGCCCGGCGGTTCGTTCCCGCGGCCGATGTTCACGATGCCCTCTTCCATCTGGCCGACCAGACGATGCTGCGCATGGATCGCACCAGCCCGAGCCGGCATTACGCCGGCCGCCAGCCAGGCTGGTGGATGTCTCGATCGCCGGCCGATGCCACGTCCTCGGCCAATGGCTTTCTCCGGGTCCCGTGCCATGAGGGGCATGCATCTCGGCCGGATGTCGCCGTTCAGGCCGTCCTGCCTCCGCTGTTGCTGGGCCGATTGCTCTTCGACTCGGGATCCTAGGCCCTTCCGGGCACCCGCAATAACTTGGCCACATCGGGCCTCCCCCTCTCTCGCATGCTTTCTTTACACCTGTGTGTGTGTGTGTGTGTGTGTGGACATCTCTGAGGGAAGGAGGGCGCAGTGCGGTCTTCCCACGTCGGTCACACGGCCAGCCATGCCCGGCGCGCGTGATGGCCCTGGCGAGGCAGCGATCGCCGAGGCGGCCTTCGGTGTGTCGACAGGCAGAAGAAAAAAAAAAAAGAAGGCACGGCCGGGATCCGGGGAATTTTCCCGCTTCCGCGCCCTGTCCTTGCTGGCATTCGGCGCAAAAGAGGGTCTGCGTCGACCGGGAATCGAACCCGGGTCTACCGCGTGGCAGGCGGCAATTCTACCACTAAACCATCGACGCTTGGGGATTGGAAAGACAAACAGCTATATGTTGCCCCCCTCTCCGGGGCGTGTCCCCTGTGACAAATGCTCCCCACCACCACATACGGCTCTCCTTTTTTATTCCCACGCGCCAATGGCCCCCCCTCTCACCGGAGGCTCAAATACGCCTCAAGGCAGGCGGGGGGGGGGGGGGGGTCAACGGGGACGGTCCGCCCGGCCCGCCGAGGCGGGCGAGAAGGGCCACACAGCTCCCAACGCGCAGGGGGTTGAGCTGCAGGTGTGGGTGTTTTCCCCCATCAAGGGAGATTAGTCTAGTGGTATGATTCTCGCTTAGGGTGCGAGAGGTCCCGGGTTCGATTCCCGGATCTCCCCTTGTTTTTTGCCCCCCCCCGATGTCCCGACCTCTTCTCCCCCTCTGTGTCCTGGCCGGGGAAGACGCGAGGCTCGAGGAAAAGGGTGCTCTGCCGGCCGGCCGGCCGGCCGGCTGGGCGGGAAGAAAAAAAGGGCCCACGCCCTCCTTTCTCCTGTGGGTGGTTTGACGGCGGGGGGTATGCCGGCCCGGGGAGCGGTCGTTGCCCGGGGGCTGTTTGTTTATTCATCTCCGTTAGTGTGTCCGCCCGCCAGTGTGTGACTCTCGGCTTGTTGGTGGGCGCTGGCAGACGCCCCCTGGGGCGCCCCCCTTGAGGCGCCGACGAGTCCGGGAGGGGGCTGGTCGACGATGGTCTTCGGGAGGGAACCCCCTGTTGTCTGCCAGGATCGTGGGAGCCATTTCCCGGTGCGCACCCTTCTCGGTGCCGGTCCCCGTCCCCCCCCCCCCCCGAGCGTGTGCCACCCGTGCGCTTCCTCCTCTGGTGATGCTCGCCCGGCCGCGGATCCTTTTCTCGCCCACTTGGGGCCCCGGCCCGAGGACCGGCTTGCTGGCGCCCTGGGGGCATGTCTTTCGGGGGAGCAGGTGGGGGGAGCAAGTGTGCCCTCTGCCCGGTGCGCGGGGGGACATTTTACTCTTGGCGCGGTCTCCAGAGAGAATGCCGGCCTCCTTCGCCGTCCGCTGAATCCCTCCCGCCTCCCCCCCTGCAAAGTGTCGGCGTCAGGCGGCTCGGGGGCGCAGGCCGACCACAAGGGCCGGGGCCGGGGCGCCAATCCAGCTGGTGAAAGTCGCGTCCCCTTGCCGGGCACACCGTTCCCCGGCTTTCAGCGTGCAACGCCGGCCGAGGTGCTCCTTGGGGCGGCCGAAAGGCGACGCCGGACAACTCTGCCCCCCGAGGGGGGTACATTTTCCCTCGGCGCACGGGCAGGCCCTACCCCGTCGGCGGGATGTCGGGTCGTTTATCTGGCGCCCGGGCCGCCCGCCGAGCAGGTGCGCCCCGGACGGGCTCCCCCCGTCTGGGGATGGCCCGACCACCGGCCAACATGTTCACGGGTGGACGTTGTCAACTGGCGCGCGCGCGCGCCTGCGCGAGGCCGAATGCCCCGGGGCTCGGGCTCCAGCGAGGAGGGCGGTCTTCGGAGTCCGCGCGGGGCAGGCAGCAAGGCCCCTGACTGGCGAATGATCCTCCTGGCCCTGTCCCGGCGTTCGTCAGGAGATGTGGTCCTCTTGAGGGCAAGGGGTGCCGCGCATGCGCGGCCATCGGGCACGGTGCCCCGCAGCGGTGTGCAGGTCGGCTCTGGCGGTGCCACCGACGACCACACCATCAACGAGCGAGGTGTGTCCTCTGCCGTTGCCCCCCCCCCCCCCCCCCCACCAGCCGAGGGCCATATACCGGTCCTAGGCCGTTCGACCGATGCGGAGGCTCGTGAGCGCGCCCTTGGCAGGCGTCTCGGTGTTAGTCGTACGGGTGTGGGGGGGGAGGGGGGGGGGGGGAAGTGCCCGAAGGCGTGCGTCCCAGGACCAGGCCGCCAAAAGCGCGAGCGAAAAAGGGCCACACAAGGATTCCCCTCCCCGTGGTTGAGTGGTGTAATGGTTATCACGGCAGACTCTGAATCTGTCAATCCGAGTTCGATTCTCGGCTCGACCTTCCTCTTTTGATGTCCCATCCAAGCCCAACACCCCCCCCAGCGGGGCCTGTTTTTGTGGCAGGTGTGCTGGCGGAAGATCACATGCACATCACCGTGTCCGAGTGGTTAAGGAGTCCGATTAGAAATCGGATGGGCTCTGCCCGCGTAGGTTCAAATCCTGCCGGTGATGCATCCTTTTTTTTGCTGCGGTGCACCCGGCGTCCGCCTCTCTCCCTTCGCGCGCCCTTGCCGGTCGCCGCGCCGCTTGCCGATGGCGCCCGAGAGACAGGACGGGGCGGGCGCCCCGGGGCGGAACCACGAGAGGGTCCGGCTTTTCGTCGATCGGGCGAAGAGCATCTTTGGCGCGGTCTTTTTTTCGGCTTCCCGGATATGCCGGCGCCGCCTGGGTTTCGGCCCCCGGCCCGGGGACCGGCCGGTCCGGGCAGCGAATGCCTCGGTCTCGCAGTCCTGGGTCCGGGGGCGCGTCGGGCCGGGCCCATGCCGGCCCTTCGCCGACAAGAGAGAGGCACTGCCTGCCTCCTCGGCTTCAGAGGGCCGTGACCGGTGCATCCGCTTGCGCCGGGGGCCCCTGATCGTCCATGCATCGCCGAAGGGTGTGGGGTGCTGTTGTTCGAGCGGGTGGCGACCCAAGCACCTAGCCCTGCCTCGGGGCTGCGAGGCTTGGCTCGGCATTCGCGCATCCCCCCGATGGGCGCCCCTCGCCCTGGCTCCGCCTTCCCTGGTCGACTGGTCGACTGCTCCTTCGCCCCTGTCATTTGGCCTTGCCAGTCGCCGCACCGCCAGTGCCCGCCCCCCATGCAACTGGCCGGGGTGGAGATCGGCCCATCGGTCGACCGCCCAGAGCCGGGGGACCTTCCGCACGGCGGTGGGCCCTGTCGCCTTGCCAGGCAGGCACTTTGCTGCCCGGCTCTGGGCCCGGATCGAACTCTGTCCTCCGGTCGAGGCCGGTGGTCCGAGTGCCGGCGGCCCCCCCCCCCCCCCCCGGGAGTCCTCGACCGGGCTTGGTATCGGACTACCTTCCTCGAGGGGAGCCTTCGGCCCCGAGGGACCACATGCGACCGGGTGACAAGGACAGCCAGGTGCATGGGGCCGGGGCCGAGGGGGGCGGCTTCATCGGCATCAGCCTCGCCGGGGCATCGGCCCCAATGAAGCCTGGGCTCTTCTCACCCCCTCCCGTGGCAGGGCTGGGGGGTCCTTTGTCTCACAAGCTCGCCCCCCCTCTATGGGCATATCCCCCCCCCCCTGCCCATCGCCGGGCTGCTTGTGGCATTGCCCCACTTTGAGGCGTTCTTCCGACCGGCTTCCCTTGGAACTAGCGACGCCATGGACACTGACACCGCTTGCCCCGCGGGTGGCCGTTCTCCTCCTAGCCGACGGACTCCCTCCGGCTGGAGGTGGCCCATGTGCGAGGGAGCCCCGGCGCAGGCAAAAAGCCCACCTAGACACTTTGGCAGCCCGGGCGCCGGCCCAAACCGCCGACCGGGCGAGAAGACGGCCGACCGAGTTGCCACCAGCGCGCGGCCTGCCCGGGACGGGTCAAGGGATCCATCCGGCGCGGGGCTGCCGGCTTTGGCCGCTGATGCACCCCCTGGATCACCTTTCAATGGCGTCTCCTTGGCCGAGAAAGCGCCCCCTTGCCAGAAGGCCTCCAGTGTGGAGGGCTTAGATACGGTGGATGGGCCCTCCATCAGGTGGAACAAATTGACCGGCGGCGGGAAATACGCTTGACTGTGTCCCCGGGGCCAGTGACACGGGTTGGGAATTGCCCGGCGGCCCCCTTGGCGAGTGACCCTGCTTCAGCGAGTTTCCCATTGGACATCATGGTTCCCGGGCTGCCTTGACGAGGGTGGCATGGTGCCGGGCCTGCAGACGTGCGTCCGCATGCCTGACCGACAGTGCACCGGCCAGTTTCCCTCCTTCCCCGCAACCAGGCCCGGCGTGTCTACTCGGGAAAGGGATGACGACGATGCCTCGGCCCTGGCCAGCTTCGCAGCGGACCTGCCGGTGCGGCACGTCGCCGCCGAGTAGCCCGCCGAAGCCGACCGAGGCTCCCCGGCCCCGAGGCAGCCCCGCCGGGCCCTCTCCGACGGGCTCCGCGAGTCGATGACCTCCAGCCAGCCAAGTGGAGATGCGCCGCTGGGGCCGGCCCCCACGCGCGTGCGCTTGGCAGATGGTCTGCCTCGGGTCGACGTGCGTCGGCGCGAGTGTGGCTCACATGGGGCCGGTGCCCTGGCCGAGCCGGACGGCGATCCGGGCCTTTGGAGCTCGTCCCCGGGTGTGCATGCCCTGCCGACAGGGTGACCATCCGTGCTGGCCTCCCGGTTGGCGAGCCGCACGGGCCCTCACGCCCGGCACGGTGGGGTGCATGTGTGGACTATCGTGCCTCCGATCGCACCGGGCACCTGCCCTGGAGGTCGATGCACCTCCCCGCTTTTTCGTCTCCTCCGAAGGGCCACTTCTTGCAAAGGTCCCCGCAACCATCAGCAAGTCGGAGATGCTACACACCGTGGCTCGTGGCTGCCTTTTACACACACTCACACACAAAGGCCCCACTCGGCATTCTGCCAGCTTGGCCGATGACTTCTCAGGGCTTTCAAACAACCGACCACGGCTCCATGCCGGGCTGCAGGGGAGTTTTTTCCCCCTGATCCTGCAAAGGATGACCGGTGTTCATTCCCCCCTTGGCCACCCCCCGGGTCCCTGTGCCCTGGGAGGAGGCCCCTGCTGGCGGTGGACATGGCGACATGGTCTTCGATGCTCGGCAGAACAGTGAGCCCTCGCCTCTCTCGCTCCATTTCTGCGAATGGCTGTTGGGCAGCGGGCGCAGCGTCTGCCAGGATCGCCGGTCTCTGGGCTATCTCATGGATATCTGCCCGCGGATTGCGAGGCACAGGCATGATGGGCGTCGGCCGCCCTCCCTGCGTGCCCCTGCCCCGAGCGGATGGACCCCAGTCCCCGCCCTGGTGCGTACCTCTAGGCAGGCGGGCGGACACTCCGGGACCCCGTCTGGCGAAACCGGCTCTGGGGACACCCGCCGCAGACCCCCGAGCGACGCGGCGCCGACAGTCACCATTGGGAAGAAAGCCCCTGCCGCCTGTGGTCACCCTCCCTGGTGACGGCCATGACGGGTGCACCCTCGCCGGGTGCCTATGTCGCCGGATAAAAAAACAAACAAACAGGAAGCAGCCGCCAGCAAAGGCCGGCCACTCATAGGACCCGATGCTTCCATGTGAGGAATGGGTGATCCGGTGGAGGACCACCGAAGCCCATCACGCCCGCCGGCGACCGCCAATGGCCGTCGTCCCTTGAATGGTCGCCCCGGGCCGGCCGCGCTGCCCCCGAAGTCCCCCCGAGCCCGAGCCAGCCATGGCTACACTTCCAACAGCCGATGGCGCGTCTCACCAGGGGCCCTCCTCAAGAATGCCCTGCTCCGTCCGGCTGCCAGGCACGCGCCCCGGCCATGTCCTCAAGGAGGGGCGGCTCTGGTCGCCGAGCCCTCGGCACACACATGTCTGCCTGCATGGCGGGGCGCGACTTCGCGTGATAGACCCCAGCCCCAAGCCGCCAGGCGATCCCTCCACAACAATTGCCCAGAGGGCCGTCTCGAGCATGGGATTGCGACTGCCCGATTTTGGGGCCCCTGGCGCTCAGGGCATTTCCTTCTCCCCGTGCCTGGGACCGGGCGAGGGTGGGCGCCACTGTAGGAATGGCAGGCCTGTCGCGCGCGGCCCAGGGGTCACGCCCCCGCTCGGCCGCCGGCGGTGCCAGAGAAAATGGCCGTCCCGGTGGCGCGTGCGGCTCGTGCCTGGTCATCGGCTCTTCAGAGCCTCTTCACGCCGGCCGGCCGGCCGGCCGGCTGAACGGGGCCCCAGGACCGAGGTATTGCACCTCGCCGGGCCTTTGCCGGTGGGCTGTGGATGTGACGCCCGAGCGAGGGCAGTCCATTGAACCAGAAGCGGCCCCTTCACGGCGACACCAGAGGGAGCAGCCATGGGTCCGCGCGTGTGGTGTGCTGTGCGGGCTGGGAGTCAGCTCGATCACGGCCACGCCGAGGCCCGACACGCCGACACTGTTTCCTGGACATGGTGCCGGTGAAAATGCCGAGCGAAAAACCACCAGCGCCACATACACACAGACACAGAGACACACCGAGAGCCTCAACTCCCGGAGCATGGTCGCACTCCGCCAGGGAGCTCGATGTGTCCCCTCAGCGGGCGAAGCCTTCGCCCCCGGATGGCCCGCCGTGTGTGGGATCTGGCAAGCCTCTCGACATACGGAATGCTGGTGGCTCCGCCACAGGTGCCAGCCGAAGTGAAGGGCACCGGCGACGAAGGCTCCCAATGCCCGGCCCGCCCTCGCCCATAACTCGGCCCCCGGGCCAGCCTGTGTCCGGCGGTCTCGCTTGTCTGGGTGCGCGGTCGCTGCAATGCCCGGCCCACCTGTGGACATGCCCTTCCTTCTACACATGGGCCTCAGGCCACCGTTCCTGGTCCGACCGAAGCATCCATGATCCCTTTCCCCCGGTGGCCATGCTGGCCGATGGTCGGTCGCGGCGACAGTGCCAGCGAAGTAGACGCCGCGGGCTTGCCCGGCTTCATGAGACCGGGGCGGGGCTTCTCTCTCTCTCTCTCTCTCTCTCTCTCTCTCTTTCTCTCTTTCTCTCTCGGCCCCTGGCCAAGGCCGCTTCCTGGGCTGGGCATATACTCGCGCGAATAACCGCACTGAGCGCCGACGGGGATTTCCTCGGTCGCGAATTCCTCGCCGGGGCTTCCGCCACGAAGCCCGTCCATCAAGAGCCCCTGCTCGCTCCCGGCCCGTGCAGGCTCTTGCCAAGGCTCTTTGATGCGCTGCGCCCCCTCAGCCCACCGAGCTGCGATGTCTCCCTATCCCTCACGCCTGAACCGGTGCTGGGCCGCCGTCTGCCTGGATCCCTAGGTCGGCGACTCCGACATCATCCCGGTACCTCGTCGCCCCTCGGCCTTCCGATCGTAGGCGTGCCTGCAACCGGCAAGGGGTCACCCATCTGGCGGGGATCTTGGCCCAGCTTGTCGGCCAGCCTCCCGGGCCTGGCTCCCGCCTCCCGGGCCTGGCTCCCGCCTCCCGGGCCTGGCTCCCGCTTCCCGGGAGTACACTTCCCCTTTCCGGATCTGCCCTCCTGCCCCCCACCCATGGCCATCCATCGGCCGGCATCCATCTTCCATGCCAGGGTGCTGGCCGGTGTGTCGCGATCTCGCTCCCTGCACTCGGGGCTGGTGCCCGGCTTGAGCGAGCACCTGCGCCCGGGCCGCCGCCGATCCCCGGTCCGGGCATCCGCAGGGTTGCCCGACTGAGGCGACGCCCCGGCTGGACAGGAGCCCCTGCCAGCCGGTAATGTGCCTTCTCGAACCGATGCGACTTCCCTTCGCGCGGACACCACAGCCTCGGGCACAAAAGAGGTGGCCCGCGGGAGTGGCCCTTTGGCGTGCCAGTATATCTCAGGGATTCTAGTCCCGCCCCCCCCCCTCCCTCCCTCCCTCCCCCCCCCTGGAGCAGCGGCTCAAGTCCGCCGGTGCGGGGTATCCCGAGTTAAGTGTGTGGAATGTCGGATTAACCACGGGATCGGGCGAATATGCCGCTTGTTTAAGTGATTTTCACACTTTCATCCGTGCAGTGTGCCGGGCTGTGTGTCCCCGCGGCCCCCGCTTGCAAGGCTTTCAGCCCCGCGTTGCCCCCGGCCTCCCCGGCCCGGGGTCCTGTTCAACCGGGTGTGGCCCCTAGGCCCGGGACCGGGCACCACCACCGCCGGCGGCCTATGCAGGCCGCCGCCCCGTTTGGGTCAGCCCATTCGACGCGCGGGAGCACCCCCCCCCCCCCCCCCCCCCCCCCCCCCCCCCCCCCCCCCCCCCC